GGAGGTGGGGGCAAGAACTTTGGCCTGCCCCCTTCCGCGTTGCTTTCCCAGGGGCCCATCTCAGTGTCTACTTTACCCAACCCCCACTCCCGCTCCCACACGGCCCTGGCTGGAGGTGACATCTCCCTCTACACGTTGTCCCGCGACCCCAAACTGGGGGGCTTGCCACCCATGTACGGAACGGTGGACAGGGCCACACTCTACCAGCTCCACAACTGCTTCCCAAAGGATGGGGGTGGAGGGGGAGTGATGATGAGCGGCACGCTCCCCTCGCTTAAGTCCCACAACCCTTCAAATTCTTCCAACTCAAATGCGCAGATGCCCAACTCTGTGGGCTCCGGCCCTCCGCCCTTCACCTCGTCCACAGTAGACAGGGAGCGAGGGATGGGGACTCTGGACAGGCTCAAGGGAGACAGGGAGAGCAACTCTAACACCCTCAATAGGAAGACAACGCCTGTGTAGAGCGAGGCTATGAGAGGGGGAGGCGAGGAGAAAGGGAGAAAGGGAGGAAGGGTGGTAGTGTAAGAGGACAGATAGAGAGGAGCACTGCGGTTCAACAGGAAATAAATAGGATGAAAGGGTCTATCCCTCCCTCCATGTTCACTGTTATTTAGTCTACTCAATCTCACTGAGAACAAAATGAAGAGGAGTAATAACAGAGTGAAAATAATAACAACAACAATGAACTTTCACAATAAAACTATTTTGATATTTTAACGTGCTAGAAATGATTTATTTTGTTAATGATCAAACGCAATTAACCTTGGGCTCTTATGAAAAAAAAAATGTTTCACATATTTTGTTGTGCAATATTCCTGCTAATTTAACCAGATCAGCACTAATGTACAATTGTTGTTGTGATTATTCTTAGCGTTATTACAAACTAGCTGTATTTGCAAACACTATAGATTGGAATGAAATTTTAATTTTGAAGTTTGTTTGTTTGTTTGTTTTCTCTTTACTTTTGGATCTTGACAACCTTTACTGTGAATTTCTTCCATGCGCAGCCGCATTGAGCTGTGTGTAGCTGTGTCAAAGTGTCAAGCATGAGTGTGCACAACATGTGGGAGAATGTGAGCCTGTATTATTCTTTTAACCCCCCCCCCATATTATATGATTTTCATCAATAACATGAAGTCAGATGTGAATACTGTAAATTGTCTTCCAATATTGATACAGAAAGAAATGCAACAATAACATGAGTGACTGTGACGACTGACCAACTTCATTGTTATTACGAGTCTGAGTTTTCTGCAGGCTTCTGTTCGTCTTATTTCCATTCTAATCAGTGTTAAACAGTAGTACTTGTAGCTCTAGTCGTGTTGAAGATGTTTGTTCTTGGGCATTAACAGAAACCTCCGACCTCCGGAGGAAGCAGAAAAAAAAGAGAGACAGAATAATAACCTTTGTACAGAATCAGGTAAAGGTCGCTGCCTGAGCAGAACAATGGAAAAAAAAATCAATCAAATCATGTTTTTTTTTTATTACATGACGAGTCCCAAAGTGACACATGCAACTCATCCTTTTCAGTGGCAAAAAAATATGTATATGTGGGTTGAGAGGGTTTAAAAAAAAAAAACACTAGAGAAAAACTTTTGAGAAGAAACATGTACATTGTAATTTATGCATACATATATTTGTAAAGTCTACAGATACCTTTTTTCGGGACCACTGTTTAAACTGGTTATGCATTCTGGGCAGGGCGGGTTTGGATGAAGTGTTTCGTTCCCGGTGCCCTCCCTGGACTCTGGTCGGGTGGTTTCACTCGCTGTCGACCCCTCCCTCTGCCCATGTTTGTTCACATCCTCAGTGTTTCCCCTACTTTGTCACATGTCCCCTAACCTTTCACTGAGCTTCCCTCTGTGACACTGGAGTCTGACCAGTTCTGTTTATGTTGATGAGAATGTAAACACATGTAATCCCCCCCCCCTCCCTCCCTTACTCTCTCTCCTCTGAACTGTCCTGAGTGAGTGCAGATCCGGGTTGAAACCATGGACACACCTGCTACATGATGTATCGAAGAAAACGAAACAACAACCAGACGCTTCCAGATTCTACGACTTTTCATTTTCTTTGATTTCATTTGAGAAAAAAATGAAAAAATGTGATAAAACTGCACACAGATAGCATTTATGTGGGCAATATGAATAGTATGTAGTTGAGAATAGATATATCTAGACAAATGATTATGGTTTATCTAAATGTGTGATAAACTTAAAAACACTGTATTGCACGAAGTTTATAAAAAAAAACAATAACAGACATATTCACAGACTGCTGTCTTTTGTTTCTTTATTTTACTGAGAAAGAAGCTGGCGTTGCTTATGAAGAAAGATTGAGAATATACCTGTGTTTGGAGAATCCCTCAATATTCTCTGCAGGCAGGCTATAACGTGTGTGGAGAAAGTAATCAGATGCTGAAGTAAAAGTAGCAGGAACATGCTCAAAAAGCTAGTTTACATATTCCTCTACTGAAGTGAAATCTCAGTTTAACAAGCATTTACACAAAAGCTAGTGTTGAAGGTCAGGTATGTTAACTGGAGTGTGAACTCCAAGTGTAAAGTTGAAGGCTCCATATTGAGAATAGACTTTACAGTGAAGTAGGAGACATCTTGTTCAGCAGTTCATGAATTCATATATTCTGTGTTTTTCAATTAAATGGAAGCAATGGCTCTAATTAGAAGTTTATTTTTATGTATTGAACTTCGTCAAAGAAGAGTAAACTGTTTTTATTTTTATTTTATATCAAAATGTGTCAATAGGAGATTTAAAGTAAAATTACGTTACCTGGAAGACATTGTACTCCAAGAATCAAAAGTAAAAGTACTCAGTAGGAAGCATAGCTCCAATCAGTGTTATATTTATTATGTATGTGTCACGTATTTATGTTGTAGATGAGTTTAATCAACTTAAATCACTTTATATACTGTTTGGTAATTTAATACAGAAAAACTGCATCATATGTTATTAACAGATGTTCAACAAACTTTGTACAGAAACTAGAATGACTGTAGAGCACATAACTCCAAAGACCCTATAGTCCCCTCAATTCAATCAGACAGCACCAGTTCCACAGGCTCCTAGATATTAGTTCCCCTAATGTTGCCTGATCATCAAGATGCATGAATTATTCCCTTTGGTGAAATGGTTAAAAAACGTTTTATCTCACAATGTTAAAGAAAGTGAGAAGGTATTCCTGGATCCACACCAGGATTCAGTGGGTTCTTCACTGACCCACGTCGCAGTAGGTTTAATTGAAATCTGCCCAAACAAACAAATGCATATAAATCATGACGTTGCATATTATAAACTGAATATGCTTTGTATATAAAAAAAACTATAAAGTAACTGGTTTAGCCTATATAAGGGCAGTGGAGGAAAAAGTACAATATTTCCCTCAGATATATATGGAGGAGAACACGTGAAAAAACTTGAGCTTCAAGAATTTTAAAATTAGGTTTAAGTGCAGGTGCTGACTAAACTTACTTTCCATTATACACGCACACACTCACCATAGGAAACAAATATTGCTTTGTAGTCACTCAAGCTCAAGGTCTCTTTGCTAATCTTTGGCCTGATGTGATCCTAAAAGATTTCAACCTTCTCTGTCAGACCTGAGGCTCATAATATTTGCAAATATATGGATAGAGCCAGATGGGCGGTGTTTGTCAAATAGGATAATGAGAAAAGCAACTAAAAATTAATTCAGGCTGATTTTCTCTGACCACTGCACTTCCTGAGTACATCAAGTTTTCTATTTTTTCCCGATGGGCCCATCTGGTACCTCATGCATGATTTTAAATTAACAACGCTGTCAAAGTCTGCTGTGGTCTCTCCGGCCCACTGGGCAGGTTTTACTTGACCTCAGAGGGATCATCAGTGGCAGGACGGAGGAATGTGGGAATGCTTCCAGAGTGGATCGAGCTGGAAGAGTCCCCTCAGAGGTGAGAAGTGATACAGATGCATATGGGCAGCGTGAAGTCAGTGTCACATCCTTCACAAGCGGCCTAAGATTCCTCACAGCGTTCGTGGACCTTAAGGATTAGTTAACTGGAGCACCCGTCCCTGCTATTATCATAACTCCTGCACTCTGGATACATCCACAGATGCAGCGATGAGAGATTCAAGGAGGAGGCTGCCGAAGCAGACTCATGTCCTCCACTGCACCCACACCATTCCTTATCACAGTGTGGGGTAATACATTGTCTTCCATACAACTTAAAAGATACTGTCATTAATACTTTTGGCAACAGAGCTGTTCTCTGAACTTCCACTTTTCAATGTACAGGTCGATCAAGGTTTCCAGGAAGCTCATTTCCATTTACAAACACACAACCAGGGCCCGTGCACCACTTGACACACTGTCTCAGTAGAACTATTAACAGCTATATATACGACTAGTATAGTGTGTCATGTGGATTCAGTTTCTGCCCACTGGGAGCTGAAAGCATTTGTGTGTGTGTGTGTGTGTTTGTGTGTGTGTGTGCGTGTACGTGTATGTGTACGTGTGAAGGTTAGCTTGTGGCTGTCTGGATGCCGCTCGTCTCCCCGGTGGGCCGGGTGTGAGAACGGTTATTAGTTATTGGGACACCTCTGATTTGATCAGTTGTCTGTGTGGGTATGGAGTCCGAGAGGTGGAGGAACAGTGACCCTGGGCTTCTCTGGAGACAGCGGGGGAAGTGGCCCACTGAGGGTTCAGGGGTAGAGAAGGAGAGGAGACGGCACACAGGTATGAGGACAGGCCGGGGGGATTGCATAGTTGAAATTCAAGGGTAAGGTTTCCCAACCTCTGCAGCGAAACGCATTGGGATGAGCTCTGGCCTAATTATAGAGGAGAGGGTTTGGGGGGAGGTGGATGTTTGGCAGAATGGTTGGGAGTGACACTGTGGAGGGGTGAAAATGGGTGAAAGTCAAGTTTGATGGTAGATAGGGTGTCAAGCCATTAAACAGAAGGGAGGCAATTATCTTATGTCAAATCCCTTTAATGAAAAGCAGACGTAGTGCCACATACTGTAGATAAATATGAATAGAAATGAGTGCAGTGCATAATCCGCAAAATAATATTTGTTGGTGGAGAGAAAAAGAGAGCATCCAACGACACAAATAAAATAAATTTACTGCATATTGCAAATAAACGGACACAACTCAACAAACAGTGACCATTCACAAAATAAACATCCATTATTATTATTATTATGTACAGAGTTGAGCTTATTAAGTGAGTCCATATGATTCTCTGATAAAAAATTGTATTTTCATCTCTTCTCACAGTTGATTTCATTCATCATAGATTCATATAATAAAGCAGCATTCACACAACACTGGTAAAACACACGAGTAATAAACAATAACACACAAGCATCCTGTTTATCAAGTATTAAGTGTTTTAAAAAAAAAAACCTGTGTAGAATATCAACAACACTTATTGATTCTATTGATAAGTTAACATGTAGAGGATATGACGAGCAGCGTGTTCGATTGGTACATTATCTAAAACGTCCTGATGGTGCATAGGAGTCTTTAACGATGGAAGACCATTTCTGCCAAGAGACAAAAATGTAATAAAAGGTTGTGCATGCAAAAATATTTGAATAAGATCTATAGCAGCCATGGTAATTATGTGTATGTCACAGAGCAACAGGCAAGAGGTCGGAGAGGACGGATGGATCGAGCTAATATCTGACTTTTCCACAGGATGACTGTTTCCTGTTTCCAAGCAACAGCCAACATTTTTTTTTTTATCTATTACAATTATACCTCATAGTTCTTATTGTAGCTCCAATGATGAAGGTTCCTGAACCATGAGAAGTGATTTTATCATAAATTGCTGTTTCTTTAACTGTGCCAAGGTCAACATTACTGGAAATGAACCAAACCTTAACCGAAGAATTATAAAATAATTTAAAAAAAATTATAAACGATGAAATAGATTTATTCTTCAACTCTGACAAAGTGTTTCATCCTGTGGGTTGATCTGAAAGTGCTGCTGCAGTATGCGTCTTTATAAAGGGCATGGACAAACAACAGAATTAGTTTTTTTGGGGTGAGTTTTAAAACAATATCAATTATTATCACAGTGTCATCAATATCAAACAATATAACAAAGTCCAATATATCGATATAATGCTTAAAACACATAATTGATCCTTCTCAGATTTATTCAAATGTTTTTGGAATAGTTTGTAAAACCACAACCTTCAATCAGCAGCAAAAATCAATCTTTAAATTTGAAAGAAACACAATAATGTGACATTTATTGTGATAATTGTTCAACTGATATGAGAATTTTTATTTTTATTTAATTGTTGGCCATGACCCAGCTCCAATCCATCATTCCATTTGAACGTTTTATGTTTTATTATTACTTGGCAGAAATGGGCTTTCATGTCGAAAAGACAACAAGAAGTTTTGTGCCTGAAGTTTTGAAAAATCTATATATTTACTAGCAGAAAGGTCTATTAGACTCTTGTTGGAGTAAGCACACCGTAGAGCTAAAAAAGTCAGTCCCTCCAACTGTTTTCTACTAAACAAAAACACAAAAACATATTTTTTTATCCTAACTCTAAGGGAATTCCTCATCGTTGCTGATGACTTTTTGTCAAATGTTTGATTAAGACCTCTTATGACTTCTCTGACAAATGAAATGCCAAGAGCAACCTGAGAGTTGCAGCCCTCGGGAAATGGACATTTACACTTACTCTCAAAAAAAAAAAAAACATCAAGAATACTATATGTACATTTTGGCATTCAAGTGCTAGGTGGTGCTATTCTTGTGTGGCAAGCATTTCTGCCAGGGGCTGAAAGGAAGAGAGAGGATGATGAAGAGGATGCCTCCGAAAATGAGAGCTGCTCCCGCTGAGCCCACGCAGGCCACGGACCAGGACAGCTCATGGTGTAAAGGTATGGAGTGATCACTGGACAACAAGGCCAGCACTGACTGGTGGAAGATCAGGATAGAGAGGAGAACGAGGACACCTGCACACAGGGACAGAAATACCAGACATTAATATCTACAACAAGACCAAATGACCCTCAAGTGCACTATTATAAGTCTTCTAGGAATAACAGCTTCGATATAAACCCTGATGTCACTCCACGTGAAGTCCCACCTGACAGGATGAAGCAGAAGGCAGCTGGTTTGAGAAAGAACGGCACCCCCTTGCTCAGAGACATGGCGATGCAGATGGAGCCCGTGACCATCATGGTCAGACTCAACAGAGCCAAGATGGCTGCTGCAAGATTCAGATCTGTAAAGGGGAGAGAGAGAGAGAGAGAGAGAGCAGATGCATGAATTGAGGAGATTGATTTTCTAGTGTTAATAAAGCCCTCTTCTCTGTCAGGGGAGTTTTGGGGCTCAGTATCGTGCCCAAGGACACTGGTGTGTGAAAGTGTGAAAGTGTATGCAAGATATTAGTTAAAGGTGGTGTCCATAAGTCTACAGGAAAGACGGTGCAGGTGCTGTGAAATTCTTTGCTGTTCACTGGAATAAAACACTGGATGACAGCACGGATGATATCACAGCAAATCTTGAGGAATTGGCACCATTTACTAAGTCCTCAGCTAGAATTCTGGGTGGGGTCTTTGGCCAAAACCTGAGCTCAGAACCCCACATTTAGAAAGTTGTTGATCGTGTTTTTATCATTTAAGAAACATAGCCAAGGTTAAATCTTTTATCTCACATACAGACATGGAAAAAATCATTCACGCCCTTGTTTCCTCTCGCCTCAACTACTCCCTTTATAGTGGTCTTACACAGAAATCAATGCTCCGTCTACAGTCAGTCCAGAATGCTGCCGCTCCGCTTTTAACACAATCCAAAAATGTGACTAGATCACCCGTTTTAGCATCATTGCACTGGCTGCCTGTTTATTGATTTTAAAATTCTCTAAATTACTTTTAAAGCCAGGCGTGGGCTGGCTCCTCCCTATATTTCAGACCTTTTCTCTCCCTACGAGCCAGGACGCAGTGTGAGATGCTCTGGTAAGACATTTCAGAGTCTAGGCTGAAAACCAAATGGAGATGGAGCCTTTGCCTTGAGTGTCCTCACACTTCATTAGCAGAATCTGTTAACTGTTTTAACTCTCATTTTAAGACACATCTCTATAAAAAAGCTTTTATCGCATGACTTTTATTTACTGCATCTTTATTATCATTATTTTCTTACTCTGTTTGTGAGTTTCATACTGTTTGTTGTAAAGCACTTTGTTACTTGTATTTAAAAGTAATACACAAATAAAGTTAGCAGCACTACTGGGCTCACAGTCAATTATACTTGATAGTAAATATACAAAATATACAACTACATAAAAACTGCAGGAGTTGGGTCTCTTCCTGTACTGGCTCTGTTCAAATCAGATTTTATTGGCATTATAAACCTGAACAGGTGCAACACATATAGAGCAGATCAGCATCTCAAATGAGCCAGTGCCAGTTTACTGTTTTTGAAACCAGTTCAATACAGATGATTATTTTATTCATTTATAGCGTCAGATTTAGCTTTTATCGGACTGACAGGAAGAAGACACAAAGTAGAATCAGCAATGAAATCAACATAAAATATTATTATGATTGTGGTTCTGTTTATCGAGCGCCGGGGCGAAGATTTCTATTGTTTAAAATTGGATTTAGTAAGATGTTAGTATGCTTGCATGTATAATATGTTACATAACCATGTGAGCATTGTCAGATTCAGTATGTTAACATGCTACTGTGTAGACATGACCCTAACCTGCTATTATAGGTTAGGTTAGTCTTAGACCCTAGACCTGTTAGCTTGATTAATGCTAATGTCCTGTTTTCCACAGCAGCCAGTGGTTTGATTAATAATCAAAATTAAGAATTGATTTGATATATGTTTTGTTAGAGTTGAGCTGGCACCATAGAGAATGTTCAACTGGTTGGTGAGTTTAATGGTTATGGACTGGTGAATGGACTGCATTGATAGAGTCCATTTTCTAATTGTA